ATAGTAGCATCTTGAAAATCTCTGCTCTTCTGTAGTAATTCACATTTTTGCTTTTAAAAAAATTATGAATAAAAATACAAGCAAGCCCACACTTTAATACAAAAAAAAAAAAAAAAAAACAAAAGTTATATCTAACAATTTAATCCTATAATATTAAGCAATATATAATATATAAGTATTAGTATAAACTTATTATTATTGAAATAACACGTTAAAATAATAGGTATAAAGGTTTTCAAGTTAAATCTTATGTGTAGTATAATCTCTTTTTATTGACTGTCTTTGAAATTTAAAACTTAAATATAACCAGTATAACAGTAAATACTAAAAATATTGTCTTCTAAGCCAAGTTTTTAGTGATACTGATCTATACTGATCTTTTTTGCTTATAGATGTATAAGAAGTTAAAGAATACTAAAAAAAGTTTTTTTTAAAAAACTTTGCTATATAAAACCATAAGTTGCCAATTAACAATGTGGCTTTTCATAGTAAGAGTTACTTTAAAATTTTTTTTTATATTGTGTAACTCAGAGATTTATTAAATCTTGCTGGTTAGTTAAATCTTTGTAAACCACCAATGATGATTCTCCAGCATTATTTCACCTTGCTTGCTGTACACGTTCTCTTAGATTTCTTAATTCACTACCTTGTTCTCTTAATTCTAAGTCAATCATATTTTGGAAATTATCAGAATTCGTATCTACCATATAACTATCATTATCACCCATATTTGGCAAGTGTGAATTTTCATTTCTTGTCATTATTAAATTCGTGTGTGCTCTTAGTTTCTGTATTAAATCTGCTTTTACACCTTGAGTAGGCAATACAGACTTCTGCAAATATCCTCCAAATCACTCTTTGATAGATTTGTTTCTGTTATTACAACAGCATTTGTTTTTTTTTATGTTATATATATATGTTTTATATATATTTTATATATGTTTATATTGTACTAAATTGCAAAGATGGGGTACTCATGAAAGAGCCAGACTAAAGTCAGACAGCGAACAAAAAAAGCACTACCTTTTCCAACTTCCTACTTACCCTTTAAATACCGTATCCGTTTCTTCCTTAAATTTTCCACTTTACCATAATAGTATTCACTATGATTTCCCTTTAACCTTAATAGTACCAACTTTTTTTACACTATAATTCTATACTAATCTAAAATAGCACAATGCTTTCTCAATACCAAATTTTCCCATTATTCCTTTAGTCATTAACATTCTTCCTTATTGCAACTTACCATTATATGATTACTAACATCCTTATAATTCTTACTGCATCCCTTATATTTATCCTGTATACAATCTGTCCATAAATATTAACAAATATTTCTTTCATTTACTATCGCTGACCTAAACCCGGCACTTACTTACTGACACTCTCCCAATCCAATAGTAACACCAGTGTGAGAAATGAAATTTGCTGATCACAGTAATTTGAAAAGCACGATAAATCTAAAATGAAGTTCACTCACCACATGCATATTTTCAAAAAATGGCCCAAGTTATTTAAGCATAATGCTAATTTAAAAATTTTTTTTTAATAGTGAGGCCTGGCCTCAGTCTTTATTGAATAAGCATGCTTTACATTGTTAAAATGAATTACATAGATCATTATAGGGACCTACAGCTAGGACTAGTTTATCTTCGGCCTAAAACTCTACTAGAGTAGGCTAACAGACCTCATCTAGGTTTAGTGAAGCAACGTACGATCTGGATATGTTATTGGTAGTGAAGATGGTTGCCCATCTATCAAATTTCGCTAAACTAGTGGTTTGTGAAGAGGGGTGGTTAAGATGGGTTATGGTAATTGGGTTAGTAATGGGTTCTCTAATTTTAAATTTTTGAGATTGCATCTTGCGATAATAAAATATGCAAATATGTCGGTGAATTTCCAATTGTAATTAAATTTGATAAATGTATAAGTCGCACCCTGCGATGTGCTTATACATCACATGTATATACAAATTATAAATTGTCGACTTAAAAATAAAAAAAGAACTTAGAGGTTTATTTAGGATTAGAGTTAGATAGGGTTACGGTATAAAAGAGATCTTATAGTAAAAGTGCAAGAAATGTTTATTGTTATAGCGCGAAAGATAGCTTCATATGTGAAATGTTGAGTTCAACTTTTGACAAAACGAACGTTTGTTTTGAAATTTACTGATCGTGCTACGTGACACGTAAGCACATCGCAGGGCTGCGATGCCTAATTAAGTCCAAATTTTATTATTAAATAATTACTTAATTAAAATTTTAAAAGCTTCAACAAAATGTGAGTTAGAATTTCAATAATGCTATTCTTTTTAATTGTGGTTGGCAATTCCTGACAAAAAAATGATGAAAGTTGACATAAGATTAAGAATGTAACTAGAAAATTTGGTCTTCAACTTTAATTATGACATAATGTATTAAGGAGCTGTGAAAAATCATTAGTGAAACGCTCGGTAATGGTAGTCGAAAAATTTAAATTGGGTTGTATATTGGTATTTAAATTTGTATTTTAACGGATGTTAATTTATTTAAATTTTAACACCATTATGATATCAGTTTTTTGTTATTTGTTTTCTGGATATTTTCCAATTTATTTGACCTGTTATATTTCTATTTGATATTTTACGTATATTTTTGTATTCATCGTGAGTCGCAAAAAAGGACATTTCTCATTAACAATTTTTGCTTTATTGCATTGTATTTACTAGTGCTATTATAGTTCTGCCACAGCTCCCCAAAACTTTATTGCCGCAATTTTTTTTTCGAGCTCGTGTTGTATTTATAAAGTTTTTGTGCTTTACATTACTAAATTGTGATAATAGCATATATGGATGATGCAAAGAGAAAACTTTGAAATCTTACCTAATATCTAAGACCGTATGGCAGAGACATGGAAAATTCTAAAATCTTGATTGAAAACCACAGATTTGTATATCGTGCAATGTATTTTATATGTTTAGTACCATAATAGCTTACTGATTACTATATTTACCCAGTACTTCGTTATAATCTCGGTAATTTTGATATGTTTATGCGACCTCAACCTATATAAATGTGATGCGAAGCTTCTTTATTAATATGACGAAATTTCAATATGAGGAAGTTCTTTGTGGCTCTGTTAATACAAATATGAAAATGGAATAACATACCAATACGACGACAAGTTTTGAGCTACTCAACATGAATTTACGTCATATGAATTTACTGTATCGTGTTGTCATTTCAGATATCATTACTACTTTAGAATTGATGGTAGATAGTAAGAAACGAAGCAAAATTTATTAAGATCGATGCATCAGATGTCATTACAAGTAGATATCTTTTATTGACTTTGATGATTTTTTATTTAACTACATTCCTTACTGAAAAATAAAACTGTGAATTTAATTGCTATTAAACTTTTTCGAAAATTAGTTATTTTCTTTTATGATAATTATAATTAAAGCTCATGATTTTATTTGTGATTTTATGTTTAACTCAGAATCCTTTGTATTAAACTTTTTATTATTCGCGTTAATTTTTGTCGGGTATAAAAAGCATTTGAAATAAGCTATTTATGTTTACTATCTGATTCCATTAATTAGGTATGGTATGTAGCGCAATCATCAATCTATATCCAAGCATTTAATATCCTTTAATCATGTTAATTATAAAAAAATAATTTGCTATCAATATTATCACTATTATCAATACAGATTTTTTTGCTTGGATTAAGTTATTGATTAGTCCTAAAACTTTCAGACTCTGAACCGATTTCTTTAATATCAATAAGTTTAGAAGTATACATCATGTTATCATGTTTTTGTGAGATAATTGGCAATTCTTTGATTGATTTATCAGCTTCTAAAAATTGCTGTTTGATCTCTTCATCTGAATCATATGAATCGATACATTGTTTGTCTAATTTGACATTACTATTATTGACAGCTATAGATTTTTTCCATTTTTTAAGTTTATTAAAAATCCTAGCAGCATCAAATCTTTTGTTCAAATCTGATTTAATATTACTATTGTGGGCGACTACAATGTTTTTCCATTTTTCAAGTTTATTAATAATCTCAACAACCGTAGGTCTGTTTTTCATATCAGAATTAATACATTGTTTGGCTAATTTGACATAACATTTTGGTGTCCTTATAATAAATTCTAGTCGTAACCCATGACAAATCATTGCCGCTAATTCAGCATCAAAATTGTAACCATCGAAAGGTCTTCGTCCAGTTAATATTTCTATCATAATAATACCAAAACTGTAAATATCAGCAGCTTGAGTGAACTGTTCTCCTTTCAAGACTTCAGGTGCTAAATATGGTAAAACTCCATAAATAATACCATTCTGTTTTTCATCAACCGATATTGATGAACCTAAATCAATATAAGCTTCATATTGTCCTTTTAGTAAAATATTACCAGGATGTAAATTTCGATGTATAAAGTTTTTAGAATGAATATTTGATAAATCATTAATGATATCGCATAATAATTTTAGTTTAACTTTCCACTCCAATTTAAATATATCAACAAGATTTTCACGTAATGATCCAAATTCTGCGTAATTTAACACTAAAATAAAATCTCCGCTATTTTTATCCATTGATATGCCAAAATAATTCCCAAGCTCATGATACGCCTTTAACTAAAAATAGATAAATTATCAGATATACAATTAATTCGTAAACAATATAAACTTATGTATTAAAAAAAATTATACCTCGTTTAAAAAGAGTTGATTATTTTTATGCGAATCTTTTATTATCTTGATTGCAACATCTTCATACGTTTCATATTGTCTTTTATATGATGTTTTATACACTACGGAAAATCCACCTCTACCTACTTCTTCAATGTTTCTAAAAGTATCGTATTCTATCCAACTGAAATAGTTATGATATTCACATTCATGTTGAGTAACAGCAGATTTTAAATACCATTCAAATGCCAAATCCTCATTCTTTTCTACTCCTATCCCCATCTGATAACACTCTCCAACACCATGCATTCCACAACAATCTCCATATTCGGCACTTTTTAAATAATATTCAAAGGCTTTTTTTTTCATCCTTTTCAATTCCAATTCCATAATGATAACAAACTCCAACATTACATATCGCAGCAATGTTACTCATCTCCGCAGATTTTTGATAATAAATGAATGCCTTATGTTCATCCTTTTCAACTCCAATTCCTTTAAAATAACAACATCCAACATCATTTACTCCAATAGCATTACCCATATCTGCAGATTTTTGATAATAAATAAATGCTTTATGTTCATCCTTTTCAACTCCAATTTCACATCGATAACAATATCCAACATTATATACTCCATTAGAATTACCCATCTCTGCAGATTTTTGATAATAAATAAATGCTTTATTTTCATCCTTTTCGACCCATTTGCCATGCTCATAACAAATCGCAAGAATGACTTGAACCATAGGATCGAATTGATTATTTAAGCAGTATTTGATAATATCATTCGGATTCTGCTTTTTTTTTACTAGAAATTGTTCTAAGGTGTCAAGAATTGAATTGTCCCATTTGCCTTTCAAAAATTCTTCATTATACAGCTTATACATTTCTTTAATGATTTCATCAAGAAAATCCTGAGATTTATCTTCTAGATATAATTGATTAACTTCACTGGACATTTTAGCATCATCTAAGGGTTTGTCGATTTTTCTGGTCGCAATGAAAGAATACATTACGCATAGAATTATCAAATTTATTTCTGCATTGCTGTATTGAAGATATGTACGTACGTACGTACGTGTGTATCAGATATTGCATTGCGTAACGTAACGTTCATTTATTCCTTTCGGTGCGATTATCACATGCGCATTGTAACGCTTTTAATGATGCCTCTAAATAAATGTGTTAACACTTTTAGGCTTTGAATAATCAAAAGTTTTCTAGCTCAAACATTTACTTTCTATATACTTTTTTTTTTTTTTTTTTTATTCTTTGTAGTTTTTTTAAAAGAGTATTTTAAAACTATAAAAAATGAATTAAATTGATTTAAGCAGCCAATCATATGAAAGCCTTTCTATGAATTGACAATAACTACAAATAATTTAATACGTTAAATTAGCCCAGAAAATTGCGCTGATATACACTACATATTCTCAATAAAAAAAACAGTTCTAAGTTTAAGATCTAGCAATATAATCCACAATATAATATATCACGCGTGCAGTACTTTTAAGACTATATATGACAAAAAAAACAGTTTCACAGTTTTAACTAGTGTATGCCAGGAACGTTCATACGTACAGCTCCCATGTCATAATGATATTTTAAGTACGCACCAAGTTTACAATAAACATAAACATAGCATGAGGTACTAATAAGATTGGCATTACATAAATTACATTTTTACGTTGCATGAAATTACATTGTTACTTACGAAACTGTAATGTAACTTTACATTGAATAGTGCATTGTCACATGATAATAGCACCAGCGTTACAAAAGTTTTGCCAAGAATAATAATAAAATTATTCAAATGATCAAAATTGCATGTAATTTTGATTCTGAAAATTTCGCAAATTTACGTAATTTGCCATCTGCTGCCAAATAAGTACCATTTATATTCTGATAAAAAATTTTAAATGGTAAGTAATGGATAATAATGATGATAATAATAATCTGAATGTAATTTATAATATTATAGCTGAAAAGAAATAAAATATGTTTAAATTAATTATGACAAATACCATTAATAAAGTGATACAATAAAATATAATGTGATAACTGTCTAGATTATAACTACTGAACTACATGTTATTTTTCAAAATTTCGCTTTTCTAAGTATTCATCTAAACTTTCAAAACTTTCGATATTAAAGGTGCTGTCGTAAGCTGCTTCAGCAATATTGAACTCCAAACATTCATGCAGATTTTCTATACTGTTAGTATTATAGTTTATTGATCTACTAATATATACTGCTTCGGGGTGCATAGTCGCTGATTCTCTATGAACAATATTGGCTGTTTTGAATTTTAGCCACATTTCCTCATTCACTTTCCAAGATTGAATAGTTTCATAGATTTCTAAGGCTGATGGGCGTTTCTCTGGGATGTTATCCCAACACTTTTCCATAAGATTAATATAGCAGTCTGGTGTACTTTTGGCAATATTTGGCCTTACTCCCTTACAAATGTCTAACAAAAGTTTAGAATCATGCTCTCTATCTGAAAATGCTAACGTGCCAGAAGATATTTCCCACATTATTATGCCAAAAGAATAAATATCAGTTGCCAGAGTGTATGATTTGTCAAATAT